TTATTTATTTTTAATAAACAAACCCACAAAAACCCCCTTCCCTATCTCCTCATCTTTCCTTCCTTCCTTCCTTTTCGGCTTTTTGGGACTAGGCAAGAAATAATGAATACAGATGAGACTAAGGGGGGTGAGGCCTCTGCTGTAGGACCAATTGCCCTTTCTTTATCTTCTACCCCCTCCAATAATGGATTTAAATGTCAAGGGGAATTGACATAATGAAAAAAATAATGTCCAGGAGTTTGATTGACTTCTGGTTTAGCCCTTTCTTAGCTACATAGATGGCTTTTGAGCTCACTTCTATCAAACGTGTAGTTGTCAGAGGTAGAAATAATGGTAGAGGTGGGTTGCAGTTGGGCAAAGATTATTTTTATTAAAAATGAAGATTATTATTTATTCAAAAAATAATTATTTATTTTTTAAAAAATTGTTTTTATTAAATTTAAGGTTTCCCCTATGTGACAGTCTAACACCCTGCTACCTATTTCCAAAGGAAATTTGGTTGGACTCTGATTTTAGCTTTTACAGTTGCGCTTGTTTAAGAAATTTGCATTTAGGATGACTCCAGTTGAATGCAGTGTTTCTTTAAAGTCACATTTTTTACTTTTAGTGGAAGATCTGGAACTGCTTGTATAGGAACTTCTGTCATTTAGCGTAGATTGTGTCAATCAGCTTCATTTTAAAGGGCAAAGAGCCCCATTCACTAGTCTCTTTCGTATGAAATACTGACTATCAAACAGTTGTTTAGGAGTGAAAATGGCTGAGGAGTTTGTAACAACCGTTTCTCTGCATAGCTGGCTCACTTTTCTTGGTGTTCCCTCCTTCTCATCGTCTGTCAGCTCATGCTTTAGGACCGGCCATTTCAGTAGGACCACAGGAGAGACCAACATCACAGGCTTATCGGCTCTGCCACACCGGAGGCGAAAACTGATTTAAGGTTTGGTGGCACTCTGGGGATGTGAGTGTGGTTATAGTCAAAGCTGCTCTGCTCAACTAGTGCCTCTTTATCTTTATTCCCAATTTCCCTTTCTTCTGTGTGCATCCCAGCAGTCAGAACTGCTTATTTTATTGATCACAACAAAATGTTGTTTGTTAACAAAATGACTGAGCCAACCTTTGGGAGAACAAGCCGAATTCTGTACGCAGAGCTGTGTGGCACAGCGAGGCTGTGAGGATCTTGTTGGAGAGGCATTTCGGTGATGTAAGCCAAGCAAAGCCAGCATTTCAGGGCTCTGTTCACAATTAATTTTGTAGCTGGGATGGTTAAAAAGCAGGGACTTTTCATGATGAGTTTTGAATGAGTTGGATCTGGAATTGAATTCATGACCTTTTAATAGTTGTTAAAATATTTGAAGCCTTGTACCTGTTAAAATGTGATCTGCAGATTAATTTTCATCTCGGGAAGATTAGCTATTATCAGTGTTTATTTTAAAAATTAAATTTGAGGTTGTGCAGATGTATGCTGGCTCATGGAAAAGGAAGGAAAAAAAACACCCGTAGAAACAAGATCTTTCTTCTACCTTTGTGGGAATTTAGACTGCTGTGATGAGAGGTTAAACCTGACAAAGGCTGTGCTTATTAAAAACAAATGTGTGTCATATTAGTCATCAATACCTGGCAACCTTATGTCCTTAATATTTATAATGAACTCTGCTTATGTGGTCTCTGCTAGAGAGAGTCTTAATCTTCTTGACTGTGCAGAAGAATATATTCTTTTTGCCAGATTAATAATCTAGTGTATTTAAAATTCTGCCATAAACAAGTTTTTTTTTTTAAATATTTTTTTTTCCTTGCCAAGAATGCACTGCCCTGGATTTTTCAGTCTGTCTTTTCCTTGCTTTGTACCAGGATCCTGAGGTATGAGGCAGGTGTCCGGGTGGTGTTTGTGCTCTGCTCGGGTGGGTGTCAGTTGCGTGGTGTGAGGTGACACGGGAAGCAGAGTGATGATGGTGGCAGAGATCCGGGTGCTTTGCTGCTGACAGAAGGGTGACATGGTGAACAGTGACCCACAGACTGGCACAGTGTGGTGGAGGAGAGGGGAAATGGGGGAACGCTGAAGGAGCAGCTCACGATTTGGGATGTAAACGGGACACTAAGCCTGGCTGGCTTGTGTTCTTACAGCCGTCTGGTGGTGATTGGGGCTGGTTGTTGGTTTGGGTCACTTGTAGTTTACAACCAACACGTCTTCCCGTTACCAGAGTGACCCTAAAGGCCGTTCAGGGAGTGTGACCTCATGGGTCCTGGTGAGATGGGTTCAGGGAGTGTGACCTCATGGGTCCTGGTGAGATGTGGCCAGGGAGTGTGACCTCATGGGTCCTGGTGAGATGTGGCCAGGGAGTGTGACCTCATGGGTCCTGGTGAGATGGGTTCAGGGAGTGTGACCTCATGGGTCCTGGTGAGATTCAGGCTCTTAGATCTGGTTTGTAACTTTCTACTCTGTCGAGACTTCTGCATTTCAACAGGCAATGCTGTCTGGTGGCCTGTTCCCAAATTGAGGAGCTTTCCCAAGATCTAATCACTCAGTTCAGAATCTGGAAGGTATCTTCTTGCTCAGTTCCCATGGAAAATAATATTTGTGGCTTCTGTCTGCACGTGGGCCTCCAGTCTTTGTATCTTTCTCCTGAAAGTGAAAATGCTCGTTTAATGCTCAAGATTGAGCATTAACAAGAATTACTTGGAGACTGCAAGGTAGAGAGAACGTTATTTACTGAGCTGGGCTCTGGTTGCCTTCCTTTGTTAGTTCTGCATCCAGTAACTTCTCAAAAATGCTGTTAGAAGCTCTGCTAGAGTGTGGAGCAGCCCAGTAAAGGGGAGCCTGGTGCTTTGCTGCCAGATTGCAGCAGACATGAGTAACCTGCTAAAGTAGCGCAGGACCTTCTGAATTTTCTTCCTGCGACAGATGCAGTTAATGACCTGAGAGCCATTTGCGCGCTTTATGCACAAAGCTGCTGATTTTTAAATGCCAGAGGACAGGAGGTGGCCAGAACCTGGAGAGACGGCTCTGCTCTCTCGTGCTGCAGTTTCCTGGAAAGGAAACTCCCTTCAAAAACATTTGGAAGTCTCGGGGTTTTTCCAAGCTGGTGTAGCTTGTGTGGTGGATGTTCTTACATCCTCCTGGTTCTGGTCAGGGCTTTGTTGTGGGGTACAGCTTACTCCCAAGCCAGCAGATCACTGTGCAAGCTGGCTGACCTTCGCCCGTTCTTGGAACGCTTTGTGGAATTACTGATGAAAACCTGTTTGTCTGGAAAATAAAGCTAACCAAATCTTAGAGTTAGAACTCATAGTAAAATCTTTTTATATGTATCTGTTCTCATAACCTAAAAAATGGTTGAGGCTGTTTGCCAGTGAAGGCAGAGCAGTGTGAGGAGCTGGACTAAGCTATCCAGAGCGGCGAGTTGTGGCTCCTTGCCCCGATCCGCTGCCTGCCCGTTCCTGCCTCTGTTGTGTTTTGGCTGTTCAGCTGTGCGAGCACAATTGTCTGTCTGTCTGTGCTGTCAGCCGGATGAAATGCTGGGGGGGTTGGGGGGGAAGGAGTCCGGAGCATTTCAGCAATCTCCCCGAGCAGCTTGGGAGCTACAGCAGAAGTTTGGGAATGTGCTTGGAGGGGTGGGGAGGTACGTGAACTGGAGCAGTGTGCTGCCGGAGCTGTGTCCCAAAACAATGGCCTGAGCAGAAAAAAAGCTGTAATAACACTAAAAACCAAGTATGATCCTTGGCCCTGGGAGAACTCTGCTGAGCTTGTTCTGAAGCGTATAATGAGAAGAGTCTCCTGTAATTTGTTGTGGAGGGATCAGGAATGTTTTCTGTCCATGTCTATAGGAAAAATAGATCATATGAATGAGGAAGATCAACAAATCTGTACTTTGAACCAAAGTAGGAAATATTCCCAAGGTTGAAGAAGCCTCCCTGAGACTGTCTCCTGCCTTCTGCTCAAGCCAGATCCTGTCGGCTTGAATACCAGAGTCATGTATGAGGCGGCATTTGCTGAGACTAGGGGAGGGTGGTTTAGTTGCTTTTAGTCTTGTTTACCTTTAGTTATTTCTTGCTGTAGTCAGTAATACAGGGATTTAGGAAAATCTGTGTAGTTGCATTAGCTGCATAGTGAAGAACCTAGTGTGACAAATCTTGTCTTTGGAGTTGGTGAGAAGGTCTCGTGGGGAGCCTGGTCTGGCGTGGCAGCCTGCTCGAGCAGGAGTGGTGAAGGGGTGTGCGTGGGCACCAGTGGAGAGCTTCGGCCACAAAGGAGGGGGAAACTCCTACTGCAAGATGGACCTTTTATTGTCACAATTCCTTTCAGTAAAACTGGGTTTTGTGTGCTAAGGATCTCTCTGCATTAACGTTTTTCTGTTAACATGGCAACCTCTCCTGTGGAGGCAGAGGTTTTTAGCTCATCTTTTATTTCTCGTGCAATCTACTAGCACTCATTTTGCTGGGTGAAGTCTTGTTTGTAGTATCAAATGTCTCCGATTTCCCCCTTTTTGTGGTAAACGTATTTATGAATTAAGTTATTGAAATAGAATGCTCTGTATGACCCCAATGGGGACTGCAAATAATTGTTTACTTACTCTGGTGTGCTTGTTTTGTTTTGTTTGTTTTTTTTTAATAGAGTAGGCTTCTACTGTACCCAGGCTTTTGTCAGGCAGACAGGTAGCCTGTTGCCGTGTTCTTGGCTGTAGTGTCTCTTAAAATGTGGGTTGCAGCCTTCCTCTGGGAAAGGTCAAGTGTGCAAGGGACATCTATTACCTCTAATTACTGGCGGTGGCTTGGGGCCTCCAAAGTCATGTTCATCTGTTGACAGTCACTGTAGCAATTTTTCATTTCCATCTCTGAGGGATTGAGCAGCTGCCAGCAACAAAAAGGCTTGGGGCTGTTTTGGGGCTGGGGAAGCAAGCTGTGAGTAGTGAAGTCTGAGGTGTTAACACAACTTTCTCCTGTATTTATCTGCCTGCAAGGCAACAGGTAGCACCACTGCACTATGTCGATGCTGTTACGAAGAATTAATTTGGAAAATAATGTCTTTTCTTTCAGTTGTGTTGATTGGAGACTCTGGAGTTGGGAAGAGTAATCTTCTGTCACGTTTCACACGCAATGAGTTCAATCTGGAGAGTAAGAGCACCATTGGGGTGGAATTTGCTACCAGGAGCATCCAGGTGGATGGGAAGACGATAAAAGCGCAGATCTGGGATACAGCAGGACAGGAACGATACCGTGCCATTACCTCAGCGTGAGTACTGTGTCTTTGCTCAGGCTAACAGCACAATTCTAGCAGAGGTGGTATAGATAAATTTATGGGTAGAGAATTAATGAAACATATTTGGGACACATGACAAAATCATTACAACATACTTCAGTGTAGATCCAAGTCATAAGAGAGCATATACTTTTGTGTTCCTTGATTAATATAATGAAAGTATTTTTTAGATTTTAATTATACTATTATAGAAAAAAATGGCAATTTAAATCAAAAGTGTGGGCAGTTCTGTTTGAATCTTGTGATTTGGGTTTTTTACCTGCCCTGGATGTGCTGTCTTTATCATGTGGAATGAATGTAATTCCTGATAGGAGCTGGGTACTGTCTGGCATCAAGTTTTGGTCTAGGCGTGGAAGCTTACTGTAACACCAGGGGCTTCTGGTCCTCATTGCCCCCTCAGTCTTGAGATTGAAGGCATTTTTAGGACAGTGTGCAGCCGCAAACTGCCTTGAAATCTCTGACTTTGAATTAGTCACAGCCCTGAAAATTAGGTACAAGAGCACATGCTGAATAACCAGTAAGTAGGAAGGCAACTGTGATGATAATGCTGACTTTGCAGCATTAGGCACATCCCTATTTAGAACAGTGGTGTTGAGAAGCTTTCATGTATGACACCTTGTTAATCCAGACAGTGTCTTAAGATGTAACCTCTGAGTGTATCTGTTTCTGTGCAGGTAGTGGGAAAAATTATCTTGTAGAGAGAAAAAAAGAAAACCCTGTTGGCAGGTCTAGTTATCTGGGACATATTCTGATCAGTGAGTTGAAATTTTTTAGTGTTATATATATATATATATATCTATCTCAGTTTTTAAAGGCACAAACTTGTTTGTGCATCTCAATCTGTGCATGATTTGGAGATTGAACCATTTGTATTAAACTTGAGGAAAGGGGAACTTTTTTCATTGAGGTGGAATAGGGTAATGCAGAATAGATTGGAGAAAAATAGAAGAGCGTGGAGCCCAAAGGGGATAATCTACAGGAAAGGAATGCAAAACCAAAGTGATGCAGAAGCAGATGTAAGTGGTGATTTCAAATTGCATCTTTTCCCTAATTTTTAGCATGTTTTTCAGAATTTTTTTTGTCACCCTTAAATTGATCTTACTGCTGTAAAAGTTTAGCAGGAAAGCTGCTGGCTGAGTTTGGTTCAACAACAGACTCTGTTGAGAATCAGTGTGTCTGTAGCCCTGTGATCCTGCCTCTCTTCTGTGCTGGCACGAGCTCCTGACACATCGCTAGGCCAGCTCAGCTTGCTAAGCCAGCAGAACGCCAGCCAGCAGTGAAAAGTGAATGTTTTCTGCTGACTTGGTGCCGTGAATCAGTTCAGCGACGTGTTGGACAGGTGCTGGTGGAGCAGAGGAGAATCACAGAATTGCAGAATGTCAGGGCTTGGAAGGGACCTTGAAAGATCAACCAGTCCAACCCCCCTGCCAGAGCAGGAACCTAAATGAGATCACACAGGAAGGCGTCCAGGTGGGTTTTGAATGTCTCCAGAGAAGGAGACTCCACAACCTCTCTGGGCAGCCTGTCCTAGTGTCCTGTCACTCTCACAGTGAAAAAGTTTTTCCTTATGTTTACATGGAACCTCCTGTGCTCCACCTTGCTCCCCTTGCCCCTTGTCCTACCGTTGGACATCACCGAGAAGAGCCTGGCTCCATCCTCCTGATGTTATGAGAAGTGGTAGGACTGTGTGGAAGAGAGATATAGATGTTACAGGATTGCTGATCTAGATTGGCTTGTGCTGTCCTGAGCCCTTGGCTTGAGATGAAATAGGCCCAAACCTGCACAAAATTTGCATTGTTATTAGAGCTACTGGTGAAGCAACTGGAGAATGTTGCTGTTGAGACAAAGCCATAGAGAAGACCACCTGGAGCAAACTCTGTCCTTGAATTATGGGCTTGTGGATACGTGTCAATATAGCCCAGAGTTCCTCCTCTTTAATTTTTAAGAGGGACAGGAGGTATTTGAAAGATTAACAACAAATACTGACATTTCACCAAGGACTATTTTCCTAGTAGAAAGGTAAGTTATAACTTCACCAAAACCTTCTAGCAGAACCCATTCTGAGCTGCATTGTGAATTTTCTTGCACATTGTTTTAGAAGACTCAAAATGTCACGGCTGCTGCAGTCTCTCCAGCATTTTGTTACACACATTGGAATTTTTTAAGAACTCCCTTAAAAAACCCAGCACTTGGAACTTGGTTTTAGGTGTAAAAAAACCCCCCAACAACAGCATTTGTATCAGCGCAACTTTTTCCAAAGTGGGGGGAATGTTTTTAACTTTTGAGTAGTAACCAGTGTAGAAGAGCCAGGTACCAGGTGTGTTGGTAACTCAGACAGAGCTCTCTCTAAAGGATGTGCCTTCTACTTTCAGATACTACCGCGGTGCTGTTGGGGCTCTTCTTGTCTATGACATTGCCAAACATCTCACCTATGAGAATGTGGAGCGCTGGCTAAAGGAGCTTAGAGATCATGCAGACAACAATATTGTCATTATGCTGGTGGGTAACAAGAGTGACCTTCGCCACCTGAGAGCTGTGCCCACTGATGAGGCTCGGGCTTTTGCAGGTTTGTGGACAGTGTGTTCTGGATTTACACTTTCTGAACTTGATGATATAATCATGCTGTTGTTGTCCAGGGCTAAACTTTCACTTCAGGTTTTATTTTCTACCCTATAAAAGACATTAAGACTTTTAAAAAATGAAAATATGTTGATATCTTGGCTTATTAAATAGTGTGTGTGGTTGTTGTGGGTTTTTTTTTTTTTATCTAGTGGTAGTACATTTTTGAAACGCTGTCCTTGAGCTGCCTGATAGCTGAAGATTAAACACTTCCTCTAGCAAGGCTAGAAACAGTAAGCAACATTTAAAAGAGAAAATGTCACAATATAAATACAAAATATCATAACACAAAATGTCTTTCCTTCCTTCCTTCCTAGAGGCCTAGTTCTACTGAGTACATATCATAGAATCATTGAATAGAATCCCAGACCAGTTTGG